TTATTGCTTTTGTTTTTATGGAGAAGTACCATCAGTGGCCTGTACCTTTGAAATGAGAGTTTGTGTAAACGTGAGACCTGCTGGTCTGGAATCGTAATATTTCAAAGCAGAGTTTGTGGAGAGTAGGATCCATTGTTCTTGAGATACAATCTTTTTGAAGGGAATTTTTTGAAAAAGTTATACATACATTAGCCCAAATTTTAAACGGGTGTTTACAAAATGTAGAAAGACCTTTTGAAAAGTTTTGTAGCAGAGCCGGAATTTTTTTTTTGAAAAAGTTATACATACATTAGCCCAAATTTTAAACGGGTGTTTACAAAATATAGAAGGACCTTTTGAAAAGTTTTGTAGCGGAGCCGGATGTAATGATTTTTTCCCAATATTCCTTCAATAATGAATGATTCTGGAAGTATATGTGTGAAATAGAGTACTTTGTTGAAGGTGTGGTTACTGTTGTTGAAGCCATCTGGAGGGCTGGGTTGTTTGTCTCACCGATCCGATTGGAGTCTTGAATGTACCATAAAATACAGCTTTTGTCACATTTTCTAAAAAGTGTTACACAAAAATGTTATGTATTTGTGATAAACGATTGAGTAAAACACCGTACAGAAGGTGATTGATTTTTCTCAGCTCAAAATCCATTTTTAGTCGTCGTGAGGTATTTTGAATATTTTTTTATAAGATATATGAGTCATGTTATTTATGTGTCATTATAGAAATAACAAACCGGAACGACTCCAAAACTCCATTGAAGTATCATGTGCGTGAGTGTATGCACACTGTTATTTCCGTCAAAAAGGAAATGACGTAGTGTTATTAACATAATGTTTGTTGTCGTTGTATGTTTGACATTTGTCTTTACACAAAAACCGAATTAATTTCTTCTACTAATGCCAATTTAGTATGATTTTTCAGGGATCAATTAAAATTCACGAAAGTCTTGAATTATCTATAAATTTCCAAAACTATAGGGACGAACGTGGTCTAGTAATTAGCGTTTGGACTATGGACCTACATCCCGTTACTTCAAATAAATAAAAAGTGGGCCCGGCATGGCCAGGTGGTTAGTGCGCTCGACCCGCAGTCTGGGGGCCGTGGGTTCGAATCCCCATCACACCAAACATGCTCCCCCTTTCAGCCGTGGGGACGTTATAATGTGACGGTCAATCCCATTATTCGTTGGTAAAAGAGTAGCCCAAGAGTTGGCGGTGGGTGGTGATGACTAGCTGCCTTACACTGCTAAATTAGGGACGGCTAGCGCAGACAGCCCTCGTGTAGCTTTGCACGAATTTCAAAAGAAACAAACAAATAAAAAGGTGTACCTGAATTCTGGGGCTATGGGCGCATTATAAGGGCGACGAACAAATCAATCTATCCGGTCAAACGGCTAATTCAGATAGCTCGTGAATAACTTTGTTCGAATATGCAAAAAACAAACAAACCAAGACTATGATGTATATTACGTTTTTGCGATAAATATTCAGAATGTAGAAAAACGTTCATTGAGATTTGTCGGTTTATTTCAGAAGTCAGCAGATCCTCAGGCTTTGGATGAGTCAGGCTGGGTATTCACCTGTATCTGATCTTTGGTTATTTTTAATACTTTTTTGTCTAAATCATTCACACTGTTGTTGAGTTGTATGTCAATACGGCATGATTTTGGGGTGAAATATACAAGCATAAAGTGTCTGTCTTCCGACCATTAATTGAAAGATCAAGCTTAAACAATTGTAAACTTTTTTTTTGAGAAAGCCAACTATTTTACCATTTACTTACATTTTTAATGGAAAAGTAATACTTAGGTTTTAAATTTGGTACATTATAGCAACACACTCACCTCCTAAAAAATTACATGTTGAAACGATAACTTCTTATTAAGTGAGCTCGTGGTAACAAAACACAACGTGCAATTGAAGATAATAGTCCCTGAATTTGATCACTTTTAGGTTCAAAGGAAAGATACTCATCTGACCGAACGTTGATTTTCTAACTGATAGTGAGAAACTTAAAAACGTGGAGCTAAACGTCAACACTGGCGCTTCGAATAGTAGAGAAAAAACCGACTGGCAACACTTCTGGGACTCCACAGTATTCACAGTCGCCGGCCCAAGAATTAATGCCTGCCATTGTCTGAGAGGATGTCATATGGCAACTAACCGTTAATCAGTTTTCCATACTATTCTAACCGTGATTAGTTTCAGTTTCGTAACCTTGATTCTCCCGCTGACGACATCAGAAAACCGACGATAAATCAAAAGATGAACGTCTTCACTTTGAACCTGAAAGTGAATGAACTTAAGACAGGAACGACCGTAGTAGACTTTTAACATACACTGATGATTAACGATTTAAGTCACAATACCACGTTTTCTGCACTATGATAAGAATATTAGAGCGATAAACATTAAGTTCAAGTTTTAGTTAATTTTCTTTTTTAAATTGCAGAATCTCTCTAAGCTCTTCATTAATTTATTGAAACACTAAACCAAAACTTTTTATACTTACTGTTCCTACATGTTCACTATCCAAGTGCTGTTGTGTAAAATTACAGCGAGTCTCTTGTTTTATATCTTCAAGAGCATTTCTAGCAATGAACAAGTAACATTAAGTTTTGGTTTTAGTTTCTTTATAACACAAGAGTCTCAATAATTCTAAGTTTTGCGTCGTTTTTCGCAGAACACACTATACCAAATGATTTTTGACTTGCAGCTTCCCCCCCCCCCCACCCCAGTGGCACAGCGGGATATCTGCGGTCTTACAACGCTAGAATCAGGGTTTCGATACCCGTGGTGGGCATAGCACAGATAGCCCATTGTGTAGCCTTGTGCTTAATTACAAACAAACAAAACCTGCTGCTCCCTCTTATCCACTATGTAGATTTCAGTAGCTGCTTCAAGAATTAGACAGCCAAGGTGAGCGAACCATTGATCCAATATAATCCTATTAACAACGAGAACAGAAAAATCGATAGATCAAACTAAGTGTTGTGACTTATCAATTCGTTCTTTTATTTCGCAAAGAATACCAATTGCTGATTTTTTTTTCTCAATATATAAATAACTCTTTGCGTCCCTCTTCCCCTCCGTAAGTTAGGGTAAAATCCGGATTTCAATTTCTCGCGGTGTTCAGAGTACAGATAGTCCATTGTGTAATAACAATTCTCTATATGGTACATGTGATAATTTAACAAAAAAAAATGGTACATCGTACCTTTTAATACCATTTATTCAAGAATTGCTTGATAATTACATTAATAAAACTAAATGAAAAACATTTTTGATGAAACTTTAGTCCCCAATTTCTTTGTTGTGAAACAAATAATAAACACTGGGATTACATAAGTTCTTCAGATTAAAATAAAAAACAAGTTTTGTATTACCTTATTATATTGCTATAAGATATTCAATAGCACATTTAGTAAAGTTTGTCACCCCGGTGTGGCAGCAGCAAGTCCATGGACTTAAAACGCTAAAATGTGGGGTTAAATTCCCCACGGTGGACACAGCAGATAGCTCAAAGAGGATTCGCTCTAAAAGCAAACAAACAAAAGTTTTTAAATTAATGTCACCTTTAGTTGTAAGCTTTTCTTTCATAAGCCGTATACTTTATTTGTTCATTAATCTTTTGTTTCAATAGAAAAGATGGGAGAAGTAGTGTACTTAAACTAACACAGAACGTTTCAACACTGAATCGAGGGGTGGACGCAGTACACTCACTTTTAAAAATTTACCTCAAAGCCACAAAAGGTCAGCTAGTCAACAGTACTCACTGCCTATTCTTGGCCACAAAAGGTCAGCTAGTCAACAGTACTCACTGCCTATTCTTGGGATACTCTAACTTGACCGAATAGTGGGATTTGACAATAACTCATTAGCGCATCCAGGTCCCAGAGTGCGGAGTGCGTTTTTTTGCGACAATAAAATGGTATGTGGACTTCACAGAGAAACATGGCTATATCTTCTCGTGGATCTTATCACACAGATTTTTATATCAAAATTAACCTCTTTTTTTTTTTTGGATTTAGACTCATAACCGGCAATGTTTATATATTTCCTTTGATACAATAACGTTTATTTCACTCTTTCACTGCTATATATATTTATATCTAAACATCTGTTCCAGTGCTAAGTGTATTTTTAGATGTGTGTTTTAATATTTCTTTAGTTACTTGAAACTGGGACATTTTGGGAAGTTTGAAAGAAAATGTCTTTTCTTCATGGTGATTACAATTTTAAAGGTCTGACATGGCCTGGTGATTAGGACACTCAACTCGCAATCTATGGGTCATGGGATTGAATCCCATCACCGAACATGCTCGCCATTTCAGTCGTGGGTGTGTTATAATCCATTCATTGGTAAAAAAAAAAAAAAAAACGTAAGCCCAAGAGTCAGCGATGAGTAGTTTGACTTGCTGCCTTCCCTTTAGACCATCCCTTCAAACCTAGGGAATAGTAACGAAGATACCCCTCAGGTAGTTTTGCGCGAAATGCATATGATAGTGCTATAGACTCTACAGGGAAACACACACACACACATATATATATATATA